ACTCATTTTACACTCAAGATATTTTAAAACGATTGTCTAATCTTAAATTCCAAGAAGTTCACCGCTTAGATTCTGCCTGGGGAAGCTTGATTTGCTATTCGTATTCGAATTGCTTGGTAAAAGAATCGCCGCTCTCAAAGCTCGTCGCCCTAGTCGCTGCTCAGAAAAAGGTATACTTCTTAATCTTGTTTATGTTCTTTCCTGTTCTGACCATAGTTAGTTGTTTGGTATAGCTGATTCGATTTTATACCTCCTCTGCTGGTTTAAGTCTTAATTTTCAACTTTTAGTACGATAGTATTTTCTCGTCTTTGTTCTGTTTTCTCATTAGTTCCCAGTAGGAAATGGATTTCTAATTCTCATTGAGCTATTAGCTTTTTGTTCCCGAGCATGACTAGAATGTGTATATATTGAATTTTAGAAGTTTGGTATCAAGCTATTGCTACTCTTATTGTGTTGATTTTCATGGCCTTGTGGTGATTTGTTTTTCTTTTCCAAAATGATTTATTTACTTTAGTCCTTCCTTGCTTATCATGATTCCGTGGTAATTTTTAGTGTTCGACGTCACATTTTTCGTTCTTTCACCTCAAGTTGAAGGAATGAATCAAGACGTCAAGATTTCGGCTTTGTACTGTAGTTGTTGTAACCTGTTTTGATTCTTTTTACTTAGATGTTTGTTGAGTTATTTCGAGATGTAGGTTTTGTTTTACATATTACACATGTTCCGTTTCTAGTTTTCATTTCAAGTTTGTTGTCACTTGTTTATCCTTTTCGTCCCTTAAAGTGTTGCATTTTGAAAGTTTGTGTGCCAATTCTTTGCTTGGTGGAAAATGTGGGTTCAATTTCGATCCAGATTGGCATGACATGCCTTGAATGAGCTCATATTACCTTCTTGTGGTTATGGGCTATGTCGAGGATGTCTAGTTGTATTTGTTCATTTATTTAACAAGTTTACTACTTGGGGACAAGCGAATCATCTCTATTTACTATTTTTTGTGATCTTCGTGTGCCTCTTGTCCACATGTAGAAAGTCTCGATAACTTGGGAGCATATAGGATTGAGAATGTGTAGCTGTCCATTTAGCTCTTATTCCTCCCATTTTCAGAATGTTTCCATAAGTTGTTAAATATAGCATTTTTTTCCTCTGTCCATTGTAGTAGTTCCTGGCCCCTTTTCTTATTTTCTATAGGCTTGGTTTAAATGCTTTTAGTATTAAATTCTGATTAGAGAGTGATAATTTTCTATGTTTCTAATGTTCTTTTCTTCGATTGTCTTGTTGTCTTAATTTTATGATATTGTTTGGGCATGGAATGCCGCATCTCGACTTAGATCAATGGGTTGTATAATGTATTGTTGATGATTTTCTCATTTGGGATAGGCATGTGAATAATTCTTTATCATGATGTGCAGCTTGGACTCTTCCCCTAATTAATTTGAATTAAGAGTAATCTTGTTGCCTAGATACAAATCTTGAAGTTGTGTTTCTTTCTTTTTGGTTGAACTTCATGGATAGCATGGGCAGTAGCCTCTTCATTTTGAAGTATCTAATTTTCCCTATTATAAATTTAAAATCACGTCTTAATTGTTTCCTTAGTTCACATGTTAATTTTGTTTTTTTTTGTTTGTTGCATGAATCTGCCCCGAGTCCTCATGGGCTTCTCCATTCTCCTTGTATTCCGAATAGGGCTATAAAGGCCCCAAATTCTCTTTTTCCTTGAGTTATCCACAATGGAAAATTGCGAAAATGATGTACAGGTTGAAGATGATAAATATGGGGCTCAAGTTAAAATTGCAGGTCTCAAAAGCCCCAAAAGGGGAGCTGTATACTTGTTGTATACACTCGTTATACAGTGATATACCATTGTAAAACAGCAAAGCGCAGGTCTGGTGCGAAATACAGGTGCTCGGAAAGTTGATTTAGGTTGTATACAGATGATATAAAGCCTGATATACAACGAAAAGGGCCGACATATGGTCCATATACAGTAATATATGTTTGGTACATATATAGGTTTTCAAGGGTAAAAATAGGGCCAAAGCCCAAATACATATGCAGCAGGCCCAAGAAGGGACCAAATTTAATTTGTCCTTTACTCTTAAATTATTTAATTGTGATTATTTATTATGTATTTTTATTCAACTCTAACTTTAGAATTATTAATTAACCTAATTAGATTCCCCAAAAGATAAGTTATTTTCTTTATGTTGGTTTACTTTTAAAACATCTTTTGTGTTCATTTATTTTATGTCAAGTATACCAGACAAGTTTTTATATATTTTAATAACTATGTTTGTTCTTAAAAAGATATGCTCTTTAATTAATAACATTTTCTTACTCATTTTTTAAAATTGCTTTAACTTAGACCATTTTCTCAACTTTGTCACTTTCTCAAAAATTAGTTAAAACGTTGGTTTCTTTTTTTTTTTGATTAATTTAAGATATTCCTCATGCTTTAGATGACCGAAATTGATTCAAATTGTTATTTCTAAACGATTCAAATAAATTATGATTAATCTTGTTTTTCTAAAATTTCATTCACTGGCATTTTAATTCAAATGTTTCATTTTAGATTCCTTTCTCTAAAAAATAAAATAAAATGAAACGTGTCATTTATTTAATATTATTTTCTCAAAGTTGATTAAATATTGTAATTTTTTTTTGTTAAATCCTTTTTCCAAAAAAAAGTCAAATAGTTAATCTAAGATAACCGCATATTAGCGGACACTTCAAATGCTTTAAAAACCTTCTTGAAGTGTAAATAAGAACCTCTTTCCCATTTTCTCTAAATTTTTAAAGACTTTATCTGTTAGATTCTTTTCAAATTATAAGTTTTCTTAATTTCTTAAAAAAATTAAGTGGCGACTCTTTTCTAAGTATTTTTCTCAAATTGTTTGATACTTAGAACATTTCAAAAAGTGATTTTTCTAAAGATAGTAAAATTACGGCTTAACGATTATTATATTAGCTTTCTTGTTAAGTAGTAACATCCTTCCGAGAGGGTTGTTACAAGTATTGGTATATGAGCCTAGGTTTGTAGTTCTAGGAATTTTGTTGTGAATTGCTTGTATACTCATTTCGCTTTTGAGAAGGTTCTTGTTATATTATTTGTTCACTTATATGGTTTATAATATTTCTATTGCATGTAGAGTGCATGTGCATAATGTACATGTCCCTAATGCAATGTTATCTTCCCTTTTGAAGGAAATAAGTTATGGCCTCTTCTTCTAATAGATAGTGATAAACACCTTCGGAGTGTGTTGTAAATTTTGAAGGAGAAAGAACCTTACGTTAAACTTTCAAAGTGTGAATTTTGGCTGAATGAAGTGGCTTTTCTAGGACATGTTGTATCAACCGAAGGTGTAAAGGTTGATCCTAGTAAAAATTCAAGCAGTTGTTGAATGGAGACCTCCCAAAATTCTGAGTGAGGTAAGAAGTTTCTTGGGATTATAGGGTACTATAGAAGATTTGTGAAAGGCTTCTCCATTATCGCCTCCCCCTTTGACTAAACAATTGAAGAAGGAAGTAAAGTTTACTTGGGATGACAAATGCCAAGAGAGCTCTGAAACTCTCATATCCTTGTTGACACAAGCTCCTATACTTACTCTACCAATTGAGGGAAATAGTGTAATATACAGTAATGCTTCTCATCGAGGTTTGTGATGTGTTTTGATGAAAGAAGGGAAAGTTATTTCTTATGCTACTCGGAAATTAAAACCACATGAATTGAATTATCCTACTCATGATTTTGAACTTGCTGCTATAGTGTTTGCTTTAAAAATATGGCGGCATTATTTGTATGGAGAAAAAATGTCATATATTTAATGATAACAACAACTTAAAGTACTTGGGTACACAGAAAGAGTTGAACCTAAGAAAACGTAGATGGTTGAACTCATCAAGGATTATGACTGCACGATTAACTATCATCCAGGTAAAGCCAATGTGGTGGCTGATGTCTTAAGTCAAAAAATCCTTCGCAAGCTTAGCTATGAGTTTGTTGCCCTTACCTCTTGTGTTACGAGCCATGAATGTTTGTTTTGCACTTGATTCAAATGGTTCAACTATTGCTAATTTGCAAGTAAAACCAATATTACTTGAACAGGTGAAAGAAGCACAAAGGAGGTTAGATAAGAGACTCATAAAATTTACTAGAGAAGTTCAAAATGGGGAAAATCTTGATTTTGTATTAACGAAGGATGGTACCTTGTTTTATCAAAATAGGTTATGTGTCCCTAATGAGGAAGAATTGAGAAGAGAAATCATGAATGAAGCACATACATAGTCATGTACAATGCATCATAGTGGTAGAAAGATGCACTAGACCATCAAAGAACATTATTGGTGGATCGGTATGAAGAGAGATATTGCGGAAGTCATTTTAAAATGTTTGGTTTGTGAGGAAGTAAAAATAGAACATCGGGTCCCAGTTGGTTTGCTACAACCTTCGTCGATGCCAGAATGGTAATGGGAGAGAATAACTATGGACTTTGTTTCTGGACTTCCTCCCACTCCAACAAATCATGATGCAATATAGGTGATAGTGGATAGGCTAACAAAGAGAGCTCACTTTATAGCAATCAAGATGGATTACTCACTTGAGCGTTTAACCGAATTATACATTAATAAGATTGTAAGACTACATGGGATCCCTGTGTCTATTGTATCTGACCGAGACACAAGTTTTATATCTAGATTTTGGGGTAGCTTGTAGGAGGCCATGGGTACTAAGTTGAAATTTAGCACTTCATTCCATCCTCAAACAGATGGTCCGCCGGAAAGAGTGATACAAATTTTGGAGGATATATTTCGAGCTTGCATTATGAAGTTTTAGGGTAGTTAGGACAAACACTTGGCTTTGATAGAATTTGCTTATGATTATAGCTAACAATCAAGTATTGGAATGCCGCCCTATGAAGCCTTATACAGAAGAAAATGTCGGATCCCTCTTTGTTGCAGTGAAGTTGGTGAAAGAAAGATTATTGGTCCTGAAATTGTGCAAAGATGGAAGACAAGGTAAAACTGATAAAGGATCATCTAAAGATTTCTTCGGATACACAAAATTCGTATGCTGATCTTAGAAGGCGTGACATTGAGTATAAAGTTGGAGATAAAGTATTCTTAAAGGTGTCTCTATGGAAAAAGATTATGAGATTTGGTAAGAAGGGAAAACTTAGTCCCCAATTTATTGAACCTTATGAAATACTTGAAAAGGTTCGACCAGTTGCATATAAATTAGTTTTGCCTCCTGAGTTAGACAAGATCCACAATGTCTTCCATGTTTCTATGCTCAGAATATATCGTTCTGATCCATCTCATGTTTTTCCAGTTGAATCTATTAAGGTTAATCCTGACTTGACTTATAAAGAAAAACCTATCCTAATTCAAGATCGTGAAGTAAAGAAACTTAGAAACAAGAGAATCCCCTTAGTAAAAATAATTTGGAGGAACCATTCTGGAAAAGAAGCTACTTGAGAGTGAAAAGAAGACATGAGGACCCAATATCCACACTTGTTTCGGGACTAGCGTAAGGTAAATTTTGAGACGAAATTTCTTTAAGGGGGAGAGAGTTATAACACCCCTAAATACCAACCAAGAGTCGCATTTCGATACACCATTGCTTAATTAATACAATATGTTTTATTCTCATTTTAGGAACTTGAAATTTTGTGATATTTGCAAACTTGCTTAGCATAATTGTGATAGTAATTTAAGGGATTGTGTTGGGGTATTTACGTAATATTCTAATTAGGATTACCTATAACTTGAAAGGGTGGTGAGGTATATATATATAGGTATATATGTATGCATTTTGGGTAGCCAACCTTTTTACTTTTGGGCAGCCAACTTTGCTTTCAGCTATATCGATAAGTGATAAACATCACTTTCATAACATATATTGAAACAAACCCGATTTCTCAATAAAGATACATCAGCATTATATTCATTGATAACCAAATTATAATAACAACACTTGAATTACAAAGAGAAGTACTGAAATAACAAGTAACTAAAGATAGAGATAAGAATGGGGATGAGAAGTTACGACTCTAGAAAAAAGATGAGAGGAACCGACAGTTTCTTCAGAATACGCATAATTATTCTGTCTAATCCCCATTCCTATTTAACTGATTGATAATTGGGCCTGGATCCGAAATAAAACTTGTTAGTATTTTACTCGACCCAATAATTCCATCTAAATCAACCACATTCACCACTTCTAACACATAAGATCGTACAAAGTCTACTTGATTCACAATAATACCCTTATCCTGAATAAGAACCTTGTCCTCAAGGTTCGGATAGAACAATATGGATATCATAGCAGCGAACTTGTTAAGACTTGGATATATGTTAGAAGTTGCTTTAACAAGTATTGTGTCTACTTTGTCTTCTTGGTTAATCCTTTGGAGGGAATATATTAATAGCCACTTGAGTAAGGCAATATCAAACATGACATTCTCAACAACATTTGCATTGCTAAATATTACAGTATGGGGTGGAAATACATCAATACAGACCAAAGGAAATTCCAATGACAATGTTGCTTCCATTTCGATTTTAGTCAATACACTGATGTACTGGTTAATGCGGTTCAACATTCTATCCACATTATGATAAGCAACTTCTAGATGAGACCATACAAATGCAACATATGTCCAGACAAAGACAAAGCAATGTTTCTTTTTTTTCAAATTCAAGTTTTGCATATGCTGGATAGAAACATGAAACAAGGTTCTGAACATTGCTCACTCCAGGAAATTCTTGATAGACAATTATATGACACATGTTGCATTTAATTTTATTGTTACCGTCCAAATCCTCAACCCATCTATATATACCACATCGTTCTGTAGTCCACCTTGCAAGAACAGGCTCATTCTTTTGTCTTATGATTTCAAATACTTGTTGGTGATCTAATTTCTGAGAATTCCAATGTTGCGCCACTCACTCCTCAATTGCACCACCAACAAGGAAAGATTTTCGTTGATGCACAGTTAGTACGCAAAATGGTCTCTTAAGTTGCTTTGCATTCACAAGAATATCTTGAGTTTGGGTGTGGAACAAAATGCCACTATTCAAATGGTTTAACTTCACAAGTTGTCGATGTATTCCAGAATCCCATACATGTAAAATTATACCATTTCCAACTAAATTGCTTCGAGAAACCAAACATTTAAGGTCATAACCATCACATTCAATAAGTTCAGGATGCATATCCAAGGAAAAAATAATAAAGCAGCCAACATAATCCCGAACATCATTAGTAACTTTACTCATAAGCTTGGCATGATTGAAAGTGGAAGGAAAAGAAGTCATCACCTCCCAACGTAGAGCAAGCCCGAAAGGGTTAGCAAATAATTGATTCCAGCGATCATCCAGAGCTTTGCAAATATAAAAAATGGAAAGGCTACAGGGACTAGATACTATTGAATTAATCCAAAATGAATGCTTATCTGCATTTGTATTCACAAGTTCTATAGGTTTGTTTCTGATGGAAACAATTTCTTCTTCATCATTCTTGTCTTCATTTTTAACATCTTCACCACAACTATTTACCTTGGATATAGAACTTACTATATCATTAGGGGGAAGGAAAAGTTCAATAGGCTTGCTGGATGTACCGAGGGAATGTGCATCTTTGTGCCTATCAGACGATTCACCAAATACCTTGCGTGCATTGGTATTGCTTTTGCATTCTGATTGTTCACCATGATGTTGAGATAAAAGTGAGTTAGTTATGTTGCTCCACTGTGGATGGACATATGTGTGGCTTGGGAATAGTACATCTGACTCACCGAAGCTATCCACACAACAATTTCGGTACTCAATCACATATGGTAACTGCATGAGATTGGTGAATCTCCCTTCTATGGACTCGTACTCTTTCTGTTTAAATCGAAATCTCACCTTATCAGCAAAATGCACCCAGTCAATTAATTGATTATTCCGAAATAGCCATTGGTACTATTTCAATGCTTCACCGTCAAGGTAGAACGACGCTACATTAAGCTTCTGCTCTTACTCAACTTTATATAAATGGAAATAATGCTCCGCTTGAACTATCCAAGCCTCCGGATTCTTGCCTCTAAACTGCCATAATTTCGGGTTCGTAACTGTATTTTGGGGTTCAAAAGAGGTCAGAGCCTTTCCCCCCAAACCTCCAGCAACATCTAATGAAATTTAGTGAGATCCTTATGGATAGAATCCTTCATCTCTTGTATTGAATCACGAATTGAATCATCAATGGAAGCTTTAAGTACTCTATGGTCCTCCATTAGAGACACCTCTGGATGAAAGCACCAATGAAACAAACCCAATTTCTCAATATAGATACATAAACATTATATTCATTGATAACCAAATTATAATAACAACACTTGAATTACAAAGAGAAGTACTGAAATAACAAGTAACTAAAGATAGATATAAGAATGGGGATGAGAAGTTAAGACTCTAGAAACAAGATGAGAGGAACCGACAATTTCTTCATAATATGCATAATTCTTCTGTCTAATCCCTATTCATATTTAACTGATTGATAATTAGGCCTGGATCCCAAATAAAACTTGTTAGTATTTCACTCGGCCCAATAATTCCATCTAAATCAGCCTCATTCACCACTTCTAACACATAAGACCGTACAAAGTCTACTTGATTTACAACATATATTCTCCCACCTCCTCTATAAGATTTCGTGTTCCTTAATTCTAAGAAACCTTGAGAACTTTCTCTAGCCATATTACTCACAAAATCACAAGAAAACCTTGGTCCTTTTAGCTTGAAGTCGAGACACATCCTACCTTTTGGTGAGTAATTGAAATCTTTTTTTAAGCTGAGTAGTGTTTAGTACTTTTAGAATATCTCGTTCTATAAAACTACTATTTCAGTGAATAAATATGATTTGGAAAGCTGATTCTTATACCTACAATCTTATGTTTCTCCTCCTTAGTGCGATGAGAACGGTGTCGCTTTCCTTTGGCATGTGTAGGTGCAAGCCCCTCCTCGGCGGTCCCACTGAATAAAGCATCCAGCACCATATCATCAGCTAGTGCAGTAGGTGCAACCTGAGGCTCAACTGAAGGGAATGCAAGAATGGCATCAACGTCGATCCGGAGACTGACTAATTCAGCCTGCAAAGCAAATAGATCTATGGCCGGGGCTGATCACTCGAGTATGCATAATTCAAAGGTATCAAGACGCTTATTAATAGCCTGGACCTTCCGGTCCATCATCCCCTCCATCCTGCGCTCCATTCTATCCTCGGACTCGGCTATCGACTTTTGCATCCACGGCTGGATGTGATGCAGCAGTGTGGCCATCTGAGCCACTAATTTCTGTACTCTGGCCAATGGGACAACAGTAGCTCCTAACTGCAGTGTGGACCGAGAAGATCTATGAGCCATACTAGCTGCCTGAGATGAGGAGTTCGGGATAGTATCGGTGTGATCTGGGATGCTGGGGTCACCGCCCTGTGCCTGCCCAACTGTGTCTGCAAGATCGACACCCAAGGGGGGTACCTCAACCTGGGGCTCTCTGCGAGGTGCCGCCACATTTACCTCATCTCGAATGAGGCCTATGTCCAATACCCCTGTAGGGTGGACTAACTTATCACAATGCCAGATCGGCACTCCAGAGTCCTTGCACAATTGAAAAATTAGATATGGGAAGGGGTAAGTAGTGGAGGTCTTGAATGCCCTCTCGTGAATCTTCCAGCAGCATGCGGGCAAAGTCAATCTCCACTCCTGCTACCATTGCCGCAACCATAACCGCTCTGTCCCATGTGACTTGGTTGTCAGCTTTTGTAGGCGACACTCTGTTACGTACCAACAACCAGAAGAACTTAGCCACAAAATTTAATGTGGCCTTTCGGATGCCCAACCGTGGAGCGGCGACCCATTCCGCACACTCGCCATCTGCAACAATGTACCTAGTCAACCATAGTAGAATAGCCTCTCGCTGCTCAGCGTTTCTCTGGAAAGCGCCACTCCGCACGATGTCCCATCTGTAATCAAACTCTGCTGTGTTGAGATACCAAGAGTGACCCATGGTAGGACCATAGAGAAAACGACCAATAGTGGCAGTTGATATGTCGACCGGACAACCTTGAACCATAGTGGAAGTGAGAAGATCTTGGGCTAGGGGCTTTGACCGCTTGGAAATTGAACCTCGGAGAGTGGCAGCATATCAGGCGTAGAATTCTCGCACAATCTCCTCGCTATACGTCTCTGGGTCTCGAGCCATCCAGTCACACTTGAGAAAGTTAAATAGTCGGTGGATATCCGGGACAGTGTGCAAGCTCCCCGTGAGGACTCTACGCTCCTCTGTAATAAGTCGGGCCATTTTCTGTTTGTCATTTATCATATTGGCATCCCAATAAATCTGCCATTGGCCCTCTATGCACCATCTATTTAGCTCGCCGGTGACTAGAATAGGATCATCATTCTGTGGTGCAGGTACTGGCTCCGAGCTAG